TCGTCAGCCTTACCCGTGTGTCATCTATTTATTATTAATGCGCCCGCATCAATGGTCGCCTCGATCATCGTTCAGATTTTAATTTTAACCCGTCAACGAGATCCTTCTGATTCGGCGTTAACAAACGCCGCGCTCTTATTAGTCCGAGGGTCGATGATTCATTCGCCGCGTTTAAATAAAACACTCGGCCTTTCTGCATTTCGAACGGTTCGCGGGCTTCGGGGAAAATGGCGGCCAGCGTTGGTGAGACGTGATCGAATTGAAAGAGACGAAGTAATAACTATATAAATTTGTAATGACAATGTACGTTTGTGGTATATTCCTTGACAGGAGATGAAGATGGCAGAAGAATACTAGAAATTTTGGATCGTCGTCGTGCAATATTATTTTTATAATTCTAAATTTAGTATCTTTTAATAAGAATCACTTTCGTGTGGCTTAAAATAGTAATTATTATAATGGTTTTAATAATAATTTAGAAAATAACCAAGATTTTTATTTGTAATTGGAGAATGGAAATAATTTAAGAAATATAATAATAATAATTTAGTTATCGTTATTGTTATTATAATTATTATATTATTATATTGACTTAGTCAAAGTAGGTGCAATAATAAGTGGACATTATATTAGCTACATAATGTTATTAAATAAATATATATTCCAAAAAATTAGATAAAATCAGATATATATATCTGCCATAAAAATGAAATAATTTTATATGAATTTGAGGAAGTAGTATGATTAATAAAATTGAATTTCTGCGAAGGCAAATGGGTTGAAATATTCGATGATTTAAATTTTCGGTATTTAAATGACTAATCATTTATGTATGAATTTAGGTCTCAAATTGGAAACGAAAGACAAAAATAGTCGGTGGAATCAAATTTACTGGAACGATGATATTCTTTAAATTATATTTCGTATTTCCTATAACTATGTGGCTTTATTAATAATATTAAAAATCGCTATAATATTCCATATGCTATGAGAGATTAGATATTCTTTTCCTCTATTTAACGATTCGTTGGTTGGGAAAAACTGATATAGATACAACTGGGAATGTGTCATTATATCGCGAGTAAGATAAGAATTAAACTTTGTATTATAATATTTACTACGTATTGCTAAATTTCATTCTACTGAAAAAGCAAGGAAAAAGAAAGAAAAATTTACATTCGTAAAAATGTACTAGTTACATGTAAATTTATATATTTTATAATATATCAACAGTTATATATATATTATATAATAT